CATCACAACAGGGAACCTATCTGCTTGTACTAAGCTGCTCATCCCAGGTTTCTTCCAATGCCGGGTCTTCTCTGAGGATCCCTCGCCTTAATTCTCAGCAGTTTATATCCAAGATGGGTCCTGGTCTTCCAGGGAGGCAGGCACTCAACATGTTCACCTCTGCTCAGGAGATGCTGGTAGCCCATTTATCTGGCACTTCTGTTCTTGCTGAGCTTTCTTCTTCCAGTCCAAACTCCACCCCAGCCAAGACTCAATGTGAGTTCCACCTCTGTCTTCTGATGACCAAGTAGGAGAGGTGGCTAGCTGGTCTTTCTTGCTTTACAGCAAAGACTTGCTTAGGCACAGAGAAGCACATGGGGACAAAGAGTACAGCCTAAATCCACTAACCAGGGGCGTCTCACTGTCCTCATTTCCCTTTAGACCCAGTGCAGATTCCCCTTCAATGGCCTTCCCCTTTCCACCAAATCATTTCAATGCTCTGAAGCTCTGTAGCCTCCCAAGAGGCCAGGAGCTTCTGCCATGATACTGTTGTCTTTGTGATGCACAGTGTGCCCTGTGTGATTCCTGAGGCTCCAGCCCCACTTCTGCTCATCTATGCAAGGGACACAGGGGTTCAGAGGACACATAGACCACCAAGGGGCTGGGAGACCATGGCAGCCCCTCTTGGTTGCTATAAAATTCACCAGTCACTCCAGACCTGTGCCTGGTTTATGAGGCCACTGTACAGCATTTTGTTTTTTGGGGCACAGAACTGAATCTGGTCTACCAGAAGGCCCTTCAGTAGATCCTCAAGCCATGTGCCTGTTTTCTGCTTAGTTTATTGTAGGTGAGGAGGTACCAAAAAGGAGACACATCAAAACTGAGTGATAGTGAATCTTAACATGGAGCCTTGTCCCTTTAACCATCAGTGGCTGGGTCATCTGCCTTGTCATTAGGCATCAGCTTTGTCCACCACGTGTTCATCTTTTATCAATACAGCAACACAGTCTTTTATCAGCACAGGTAGATAATTCTCAAAGGATTACTTTCCTCTCTATTCACAAAAGCCAGGTGATGGATTCTGACAGGAAACCACCACACATCCCCAAAATGCTGCATATCAGCCCACAGATGAGTGATAGCCCAAGTGACTGGAAGCCAAGGAGCTGGGAGCCTTCCACTTGGCAGGTGACAAAATTCAGCTGACAGCATTTCTGCTAATAGCTAAATACCAAGCAATTTGATGTATGCCAGGGAAGAGACTGTCTTCTACTTCATTCATTCAGTTTTTTTTTTAATTACAGCACAGGATTACTTAGCATGAGTTGACTTTATGAGGGAAGTTCTACAATATATAGCAATGTACTAATATGAAATGGACTTTCCTTTTAAGAAAGGTAAATTCTGTGTGAGATGGATTCCCTATCTCGCTGGGACACCCAGGCACTCACACTAAGCTGATTAGTTTTGGGCAAAAGAAGAAAAACAAATATGAGTTTGAAGGTTGCCCTTGTCTGACTTTGCTTAAAAATCCAACTCCCTATAAGCCCTCCTGTGTCCTCATCCTCTAGTATAAGGGCCAGGGTTTACTCTGTGGAAAGGAAATGCATTCTCCATGTAAAGGAAGCTGCTGGAGAGGGATGGTCAGGACATACACAGCATGGAGGCCCTGGCCTGAGAAGCCACTGGGGGTCCCCGAGGATGCAAGCGTACCCAAAAGGGTCCTGCAGATCTCATGGACACTCAGTGAACTGCCTGCTGAATCAAAGTACACCTTGAAGTCAGGGGAGCTCCAGGATTGGCTGAAAGTCTTCAGGGGATGAGGTTTGAGGTGACCCACCTCTTTGCAGACAGAACATGAGGAAAAGACCCTCCTTCTCCAACCACTAGGAGGGCCCTGCCTCAGGCCTGGCTTGGGGAGGCACTTGCAGCGGAGTTCTCACCAAGTTCTGGTTTTGCTCCTAATCTTTGACCTTTGAAAACTTGTACCCCCTCATATACTCTAATTTACAATTAAATCTTTTTATTGTAGTTTTTTTTTTTAAATAGAAGATGTGATTTCTGGCCTAAATACTGGTATTTTAAAATCAAACCCTTTCATTTCTCCTTTACACATTCATGTGTGCAGCACCTTGCACTCTTCAGCCCACCAACCTACCCACGCCTCTCCCCACACGGCACTGTGGTCACCCGAGCCACCACCCTGCCCTCCTGTTGCCTGGTTACCTTGGAGCCGAAGAGGCAGCGAAGCCCAGGGCAGGGTCTGACTCCTGCTGGAGAAAAGCACTAGGATCTACGCCAGCTCAAAAGAGAAACCAGCGTGAACATGGCCGCCACCCCACTTCCGCTCCCCTCACTTCCGCTTCCGGCAGACATGTGGTAGGCCCCTTGCACCTCCGGAAGTAGTCTTTCCTGAGCTTCATTCCTTTTCTAGCATGAAGTTTGACCCGAGTAACGTGCTTTTATCTTGGAAAGTCTTTTGTGCTCACCCTAGCCTACTTCTCCACAACAACAGAAAAAGCTTTATGGGTATAAAATTTTAAATTTGTGACAAAAAGGATTTGTTAATATCTACTGAATTATTTTCCCAAACACTACGATGTTACAGTTATTCAGAAGCGTGACTGTGACAAATTGATAACTCGCACATGAAAGCAAAATTTTTTGGCAATTGCACCTCTTAATGAGAAGAGTAGAGCTTCTTTTCCAACCAGAGTGTTCCTGTGTCCAGGAATCAAGATGATCCTGCACCAATGAACAGGTTCAGCTTCTGCTATAGTGAAGTTTCATTTTATAGAAGTGTCAGAACACTTGCATGAACCTGAAGATAAGGAGACATATTCTTGCAATGTCCCTCTCTTGTGTCTTGAACACCTACGTAATATCTCCCAAATAAGAAGGTGATCTGAAGTTAAAAACTGTTTTCATGCTTTGTCAGCAGTTAACTCAATTGGGTTTTGATTCAAGTGTTTTGAAAGCAAAGGATTACAGACCACAGGACTTGCAACAGGATTTGTTATCCTGTCATTCTCAATTTCTGTTGTGTTTACCAGAAAGGCCACTCTCTTCTTATCAAGGGACTGATATTTACCCATGATTCTTTCATCACTTTGTTAAACCTTAGATAGTCTGAGGGGATTGAGTATATTGAAATGTTAATGTCAGTGCTTTTTTAATAAATTCAATGTTTTGTGGTAAACTGTTTTTATCACATAATTGTTTTAAATGTATTTTCACAGAAATCTTGAAGTTACAGATTCAGTTCATTCTATTTACGGGGTAAATGTCTTCCAAGTGGCCTAATCCTTCTGGACAGACCAGTGAACCAAATAAGACACACTTTCCATCAGAAAATGTCTGACCTACTTTTTCAATTGAAACAAAATGTTAGCATTCTTTCCAAGGGATATTAAAAAAGAAAACCACTGAGAAATAAATTATAATATACATCTTAGAAGATAACTTATTGAAGGCAATAAAGTCAGGCCTTTACACATATAGGTCTAATATAATTAACTGATCCATTTTATAGTGTAATAAAAGAAAATGAGGCTTAACTTGTAACAACTTAATGGAACATGTAGGTAAATGTTCAGGTTATGTACTAATGGAAGAGAAGGATAAAAGACATGTGTTTATTGCTTTCAGGTGCTAAATCATGAATAAAAGTCATTCTAAAACCTCTATTTGTCTGTCTATCAAGTGCTGGGGATGGAACCCAGGCCTGGGGCATCCAGACAAACACCCAAAAACTGAGCTACATTCCAGCCCCTTCCTCAGTGATTTTGGTAAGCATCAGGATGAAAGTTGCCTTTGTGTTCAATGAAAAAAGAATTCATTAGCCCAGTAGCCGACGCACTGTCGTATTGTTTATAGTATTATTTAAGAGCATTCAATTCAAGTACAGGAAATAAGGGACATGAGTAAAGAAGCAAGTAGCCTACAGGACTTGGGGAATTGGGTGAGTCAGCCAGCTGACCCTGAGGAAGAAGGCAGGGAGGTACTGAGAGGCAGCCACGTGGATGAGCCAGTTACCCACCAGTTGGTGACTTCCATTAGGGTCCTCCTGTTTTCTGCCTGGGACAGAGGACAGGATGAGTGCATTTAACTGCGCTGAGTGGGAGTCAGTTTGTTCATCTTAGTTCCAAAATAGAGAAACAAGTTATTTGCCTGTAACAGTGCTGCTTTTTACCTTGGTACTTTTGACTTTTCTAAAATGATTTTCTGCATTTGTTTTTCATTTACTTTTTTTTTTTTTGGGTACCAGGGATCGAACTCAGGTCCTTGTGCTTGCGAGGCAGGCGGTGGAACCACTGAGCTAAATCCCCAGCCCCTTCATTTACTGATAGAATATCCAGATGGCTAAGTTTTTAAAAGAGGAAAATAAAGTTTAAATCACTACAGATTCCATCCACAGACCACAACCAGACTCTTGCACATATCCACAGACATGATACACCCACATTTCTTTAAGACCATGAGGTATAAATCCTGCTTGTAACCCATTTCCCACTGTTTATTATAAATGTCTTTCCAAAACAGTATAGTCCAAAATATAGTTTTACATTATGACTTTTCATTGTTTCACTGCACCTGAATTCCCTGTTCTAATGGTCTTGTTGAATGAAGGTCAACACTCTGCCCAGGCCCTCCGATCAACGTGGCCTCCACACCCAGCCAGTAATGTGAGATTGTAGTCATCATCCCTTTTATAGGGACAGGAGAAGGGGCCACCACATCATTTTCCTCCACCCCACCTTATACATGGAGTGGGGTCAAGGTTCTTTTCAGGAAGATGGAGAAGCCAGAACCCAAGAGGGGTGGGGGACCAAGAGGCTGTCCCAAGTTGGATAAGTACACCAGACACTGTGTGCAACATCTGGAGCGAATGAGACCTGCAGCCACGGGCGGCATTGATCCACACCTCCCGAACTATGCCCAGCAGGTTCCGATCCCACACAACTCAGTGGAGCCAGAGCCAGAAATAAGGTGAGAAGAAAAGAAAACTTTGGCAATGCCTCGGTAGTGAAACGTCTTATTTTTATTGAGAACATTTCAAGTCCTTTGTCTAGGTGTGACAGCGTCTCATGCTCAGCTCCAGCTGGCCTCGGCGTGAGGAAGCTCATGCAGGCTGTAACGTGTGGTATATACATAAATATACATATGGAGAACACTGACGATTGTATCTTAGCAACAAGTTTCTCGGCTGAATTACATTCATATAAAGGGTCCAAATTCTAAAATCAAATTAAAAGCATATAACCCAAGGCCGGAGAGCAAACATCTCAGGGGCTTCCTCATTAACATTCCACAGACTGTGCTTTTCACCCCTGTGCTCCCCTTAGGAGGAGGACCCCAGTTCCTTCCGCACCACCCCTCGCTGGTAACGAGGAACAGCAGGGTGCTGCCCACACAGGAGGCGGCTTCTGCACAAGCTGCAAACACACGTACGCCCTCACAACCATCACGATCACTGCAGGCCCCGCGGGACAGGGTTTCCCTGCTCCCATTCCAAGCCTCCAGGGAACACAGGACTCTGCGGTTGACAGTGGAGCAGCCCAACCACCTCCTTGCACTCAGGGAGGTCGATTGTCACAGGACACATCAGAGGACAAGGACACCGGAACAGCACGCACCGGACACAAGTCCTCTGTCCTTTCCACAGATATAACTTGGGGGTGATATAAAGGAGGTACCTTAATTTCACAGAATTTAGAGATGGGGGAGCCAGCTAATTTTTTCTGTTGTTGGATCAAAACTGAGTGGGTAGAGCTGGCCCTTCTGATATAAAGTATCTCAGAGGCACAGTCACCTATGCTGTATTCATCTGCTCAGAAACCAGGGTGATGTGCAGCTCTGCCCGGGGGTGCACACCCTCCTCACCTGTCACCTGTGAGGACGCAGCCGCCCGCCTCGCTGCAGGAGGAACTTGGGCTTAGGAGAAAGTGGTGACTAATTCCAGAGAAGTCAGAGCCTTATGAGACCCTGGCTTGCACATTTAAAAACCATTCCTTTTAATCACACAGCAAGTTCTCAAACAGGAAAGGTTAACAGATGAAGACTCAGAATAAAATCTGCAGCTTTGGGCAGGCCAGTGCAGGTGGTCATGGTGGCTGGAGGTGGCGACATCCATCAGGCCGCCAGCTGTCCCTGGACCCCGACCCCTACCCCACTGGGAGAGCCCCGGGTCCACACAGAACATGCTGCCCTGAGCTCCTCCCAACACTGACTCCCCACCGAGCAAAACTGTTCCTGAGCCACCCTGAGGGACTTCCAGGGTCTCCACGGAAGTCACACCTCGGGGTTTGCTGACCGCCCTCAAGATGTCCTCAACACTTAAGGGTTTTTTTTTCTTCAAAATGTCAAGTCCCTGGCTGCATCTGGTTTTCTATGAAGTCTCTTAAGTGCAGATCCAGGACATGGGATGCAGCTGAGCAATGACAATGTGATCTGTGACAGGTGATGCACAGCAAGTCCTGACTGCTGTCACTGAGGTGGCCCTGCTTTTCTCTGACTGCAGCTGAGCTCTCTGTGGTCCTGTCCTGGCAGCAGGGTGAGGACACTCTGTCCTGTGGTTGGTCCCCTTCCTCCCTCTCCCCAGAGACCAGGCTCAGGGATCTCAGGCCCTGAGCTCGTAGGGGTGGGGATCAGTTGTCCACCTTTTGGATACAACTCAACAGAAGGAACAGCCAGACATACAGGGTAGTTTTGTTTTTATGTATATGGAACGTATCTGCACTGGACTTTATACCCCAAATCCACATATTTCTTAAAAACTAAATCCATCTCCCAATCCCCACTACAAAAAATACAATTTGTAGAGCCAGGAGTAAAAGTCTTTCTGGAGCACACTCAGGAGGACAGCAGCAGCCCCAGGCCTCTTCCATGGGTGCAAAGGGAAGCCTGGTGCATTTGATCCAAATGAGCTGCACGGTGTATGGGGACTGCCACCCCAGCTACAGAGAAGGCTGGTGTGCAGGCAGCTTGCCCCAGATGTGGACTTGTGTAGACAGGGCTCCCCGCCCTGAGGGACACACGTCCAACAGAGGTGGCACCACTCACCCTGCAGCCCAGGGAGAACCCCAAGCTGCTCCTGTGCAGCTCAGTGCCACGGGCATCAGTGCCCTGGCAGCGGCCGTGGCTGCTATGGCGCGGGGTGGGGCCTGCACCTCTCTGCTCCTGGCCCCCAATCTCCCCTCCCGTGACTCCAAGTGCAGACAGTGCTGAGCTGGCGGCAGCACACGCACCTCCTCGGCTCCTCTAACCCTGAGTGGAAGCTGCAAGGCACCTGGTGCAAGTCTCTGAGCACAGGTCCAGGTGGGCACACCAGGCTCTGACTGCCAGGCTTTCCTGTGCACTGGGGTGCTGAGCAGAGTCCCTGGCTTCCCCGTGATGCCAGCAGCACCGAGCCTCAGGACATCACTGCATGGCCTGCACTGCCAGTGTCTCGCCAGCTCCAGCCTGCTTTTTAGTTTCCAGACATGTCTTTGATAAAGCTGAAAAGAATAACTTAAAAACAGGCGTCCTGTGGCACGCTCTGAGGACGCGTGACTACCAGGTGATTCTAGTTCCATCCTGGGCGTCCTTGGGCGTCGTCCTTCCTGTGTGCAGGTCCCTGGGAGGGTGAAGTTCAGAGCCAAGCCCTGTGGACAATGCCACCAAAGGAGTGGTCAGGATGGGGCCTGTGGGTGAGCCTTGTCCGGGATTATTTGGAAGTGAGCTAGCAGTTTCCGGGATCTGATCCCACTGGAGCACAGAGGCTCCTAGCGGGGCTGCGGCAGCAGACTCGGTTGCTACTGGGGCCCAGCGTGTGCTCAGGTCACATGATAGCATGCTGGCGTTGCCAGGGGATGTTAGAACCTACTGTATGCAGCTAATGGCGAAGAATGCAGGGCAGGGCCAGCAGGGACATGCGTGCCGACCCCAGGGCTCCACGCCCTACCTACACCTTCTCAACCTCCTCCACGTAGAAATCTTTTGCAATTAAAATAATGTGGCATAAAGTGACCTGACATAATTACTTATTTTATAAACCACATTTCTAACTCTGAATAAATTATTTATTCAAGAATTTCACACAAAGTAGTTTCTATTTTCCTAAATTCAAGGAAGCCCTACTCAGTAGAACTCAATGTCTAACGTAAACTGAGGTTGGAAGCAGTCACTGGGTAACCTGGGGCAGGGGGCTCGGGGCTGGGGGACAGTGGGTGGCGGTGCTGGGCCCCACCTCCCCATGCCCACCCCACGCACTGCCCCAGTTCAGAGTGAGATGCCCTGCACCCCACGTGCCCCCGCGCCCGCCCCTCAGGTGTGCGCCCACCCAGTCAGATGTGAGGCTCGGGGGACAGTGCCAGGCGGCCGCCGGGGTCAGGGTGTGAGCAAGAACTGGTCCTGCTCCGTGGGCTTCTCCACCCAGGCGCCCAGGCCCGCCTTGATGAAGGCAGTGAACAGCCGGGCCTTCGCGGCCTGGTACTCCCTCGCCGCCAGCTTGGACTCATGGTACGTGGTGGGCTTCAGGATCCTGGTGCGCAGCAAGTGTGGGGGGACCTGCAAAAGGACAAGTAAGTGGAGGCGCGCTGCTGTGGGGACAGCAGCGGGTGAGACACAGCCAGGATGATGTCCGGGATGGTGATCAGCACCGCGCCGGCTTGGGGGAAGGGGACAGCCCAGAAGGCGCCCTCCCGCCCACAGGGAGTGGAGCCCCAAGGCAGTCCAGTGACCCCCCTGGAGCTCGGCCACCACTGCCAGGAGCACCTCGTGGGCGGACAGGGCTGCAGACCTGGGGCTTAAACCCTGTCTGCAGTGCACAGGCCTGCGGGTCTGCGCACACACCCTGAGGCCACTGTGGGGCACACAGGCCATCCTCCATAGGGATGGCACAATTTCTGCTCAAGCCCCACACAGTGTCCCTGCTAGCCTCAGTAAGTACAGGCTATAAACACGACTGAAGGATGATGAAAGCTAGCAATACCTGACTTAATCTATGAGGTTTTATTTGGGGAAAAAGGGTCCTGAGGCTAAAGCCAAAGTTTTAAAGCCCTTGACGGCAGGCTTAGCAGAGCCCAAGGGATCGTGCCGACAAGGCCAGGGGTTCGGGGTCCTTTCTCTATGTCATCTTCATCTGAGTGGCACAGCAGCACCTTCCTTGCCATGGCTTGGTTCTCTCAGGTCCCTGAGGGACATGTTGAAGGCCGTGTCCCCAGCTGATGGCACTAATGGGGAGATGGGGGACCTTTGGGAGTTGGGCTGAGTGGGGAGCAGCATGGTCACTGGGTGCACGCCCTAGAGGGGGAGACCCTGGCCCCTCCTCCCTTGCACGCGCTCAGCACCACAGGTGAGCGGCTCTGCCCATCACACACCCGTCATGGTGTCTGCCTCACCAGAGGCTCAGAGCAGCGGGGCGAAGCAGCCACGGTCGGAAACCTCTTGAGATGGAGCTAAAATAAACCCCCTCCTCCCAGGCATTTTGTCACCATGGCAGAAAGCTGAGGGACTCAGAGATTGGTGCTGAGGAGCGGGGCTGTTGCTGTGACTGCCTGACACTGAGGTTAGAGCCTCTGGCATTGGTCTGTAAGGAGATCTGAGCGTGGAGAAGCAGGTGAGAGAAAACTTGAAGTTAAGCCTAAAGGGTGATTCTGGCCCAGGCTCAGAGGACTCAAAGGACGACAGAAACACAGACAGCAAAGGATGCGCTGATGTTTCAGATGGAAAGGAGAACTCTGCTGGGGACTGCACCACAGGTCATTGGTGTTACCTTTTGGCACAGAACTTGTCTGAACTGTGCCTGTGCCCTGAGACCACAAGGCCAAGTTCACAGGTGACAGACTAGTGTACTGGACAGGGGAGAGTTTAAGGCAACACAATGCTAAGGTTGTGGGCTGGGTACTACTGGCTGCCTTTATCCAGATTGGCAGTGAGAACTGGGAGGAAAAAGCAGAGCAGAAAGGTTTTAAAAACTTGCAGTTTGGGCAGAAAAGGAATGTGTTTAAAGGTGCAGCCAAGGAGGGTACAGTTGCTAGAGATTAATACTATTAAAAAAAGGCAAGTGCTGGGCACAGCGGTGTACCCTGTAAGACCAGCTGTGAGAGTGCACCTACAGCTGCAGTGGAGACCCCAGGAAAACTGGAGATGCCAGGCACATAGGATGTCAGCAAGGGAAGCTGCAGGCAGCAAGCAGAGCCAGGCCAAGAGAACGGTCATGTGGGCTGCAGCTGGCAAGGCCCTAACATCGCCATTGCTTGGCCCAATCCTGGACCTGCAGCTACAGGAGTTCATGTCTGCCCTGCCGAGCTCCACTTGCTACAGTCTGATCCTTCCTCTCCATGCACCCATTCCTCCTGTTTGGGGTAGGAGTGTTTCCCCTATGCCTGTCCCACTACAGTACTCTAGAAGTGTGTAACTCTGTTGTTCTATTTTCACAGGGCCTCACAGCTCAGAGTTTACCTTGAATCTCAGAGGAGACTCTGGACTTGGGTTTTTGAGTAATGCTGCAACAGGTAAGACTTTGGGGACTCCTGGACATGGACTGAATGTGTTCTGCATTGTGAGATGGACATGAGCCTTTGGGGGCCAAGGGAGTAAAGTTACAGTTTGGATCTTTTTTTTTTTTTGTACCATGGATCGAACTCGAGACCTTGCACTTGCGAGGCAGGTGGCAGAACCACTGAGCTAAATCCCAGGCCCCTACAGTTTGGATCTTAAACAGCCCCCAAAGGCCCCCTGCTAAAGGTTTAGTGCCCAGCTGTTACCGAGAGCTGGTGGAACCTTCAGCAGGCAGAGCCTTATGGAAGAAAGTGAGGTCACTGGAGGGGGCACTGGGACCTTGGCCCTTCCCCGCTTTGCTTCACCACATCCTCCCTGCTGTGAGGTGGCAATGGAGTAAAATGACCATGGATCAAAACCTGTGAAACCACGAGCCAAAAGAAACCTTTCCTCCTTGATGTTGGTTTTTCTTAGGAACTTTGTCACAGTGATGGAAAGCTGACGGTCACACTCCCACAGCAGACCTGGGCAGCGGGTCTTGGTTTCTGTGGCAAGGAAGGAAGAAGCTGCCATGGAGGCAGCTTTTACACTTGCCAAGCCAGGGCCCCACGTTTAAGCTAAAAACAATCTTCAGAACAAAGAAGTTTTCAAATGATCTTTTAAGGAGGCTGCGCGTGATGACATGGCGATGGAGACCACAGGAGGGACAGGGGATGAAGACGGACACGCTGTGGGGGTGGGCCGGCACAGCGCCGGGAGGGCACCTCAGTACCTTGCCGTGCACACGCATCCAGCGACAGTACAATGCGTGCTTACACAGGCGCGACGCGCGGCCCAGCTCGTCCTTCCCTGTCGTGGCATTGATGATCTCAATGGTGGAGTCACCCACTGTCCAGTTGACACTGAAATTGGGCGCCTTTCCCGGCTGCCGAGCCTCTGCGTTGCTGATTCCTGGAATGCAGCAGACAAGGAAGGTACCATGTCACTGCGTCCACACCAGGGAGGAGGTGCTGAGCACCCAGGGTCCAACCTGGCCACAGATCACATGCCAGTAGCTTGCCACACACCCTCCAGGGAAAGGGGCAGAGCTGAGAATCCTAACTGACTCACAGGCTGGCAGAGCCCGAGACCATAGGACTTCTGGCCCAGGGGGCCTTAGCCTACTTTCAGGCCACAGAGCAAGAAACCTTGTAGCCTGCAGGGGGTGGGAGAGGTAAGGGAAGCCGCCTTGGGCCAGTCCTGGGTCTGGACAGGTGAGCCAGTGTGGGCCAGTTCCAGTTCCCATTGGGCCGGCCACTTTGGCATGAGCTCAGTTCCCTGCACAGTGGACCGGAGTGGGTTGGGCTGCCCCCCCGTGTACATCCTCTGCTCTGGTGCTCGTGCCCCGAGAGCACCCTGTGCTGCCAAAGCCAGGTATCCAGGCCATACAGCTTCACACGCCCCAAACCTGGGGAGTAAGAGGAGCCCTAATTCCTGACAAGTGAACATAGGTAAGTTTTCTCACTGTACTCAACTGTCTTTTCATAACTAGCCACAGGCCCCTGTTGCAGGGTGGAGACACTTGGATAATGGGAACTAAATGCTCATATCTCCCTTTGTGTATGGGGCTTGATAATTCACACCACATGGATGCAACGGGTTCCCCAAATCAAATCGGTTCAGCAGCAGTCTCCAGAACATGCCTGGAACATGAGATGGCTGGTGTTCTGGCCCAGACCCCGAGCCACTGGGCAGCTGGCCATGAGCAGGCCAGCTCAGCACGACAATGCCTTCCTCTGGAGCTGCGTCCACTCTGTCACCATGCTCCTCATTTACTCTCACCACCCATTCTCTCCTCCCTGAGCAACTTCTGACACCAGGCCGGATCCCCACAGGAAGCTGGCAGACACTCCAGCTGAGTCCAGGGAGACCATGGTGGCCAAAGTTCACAGGAGAAGGTGGCAGAGGGAAAGGCAGAAAGGGACCCTGGGGTCTCCCAGGGCATCCCTGACTTCCTGGGAGGCCTGACCAGGGGCGTCGCTGCTCCAGGCCAGAGAGAGTCAGTGAGGTTGGAGGGAAGGGTGCCCAGCACTCACACCCAAACAGACACAAAGAGCTGCACCGAATGCCTAGAGATGAAAGTGCAAGTCTAAGGGAAAAGCACGCTCGGTGGAATTAGTCACAGACTAGAAGCTGCAGAAGAAAAGCTTGGTGAACCTAAGGCACGGCGACAGAAGATAGCCAAATGAAGCACAAAGAGAAAGCAACTGGAGTTCCTGAGTGAAGGGGATGGGCAGAAAAGAATATACTGGCAGAAAAGATGAAAAAAAATGTTCCAAATTTGACGAAACCAACAAAGCCATGGATCTAAGAATTTCAACAAAGCTTGAACCCAAGAAACACAAAGAAAACCACACCAAAGCCCATCACAATGAACAGCACCACACCAGCACAAAGAAAAGACACGCAGAGGGACACACACAGAGGGTCACAGACAGGAAGGTCAGTGGGCTCCTCAGAAAACAACGCAACCAGAAGAGGGAGCAACATCTTCTGAGAACCAAATGGAAAACAGCCTCTGCAGTCCCAGCAAAAATACACCTGCCAGCAAAATATATTTTAAAAGTGAAAGAAATAAAGATATTTCAGACATACCAAAGCTGAGATAATTCTTCATCACCAGATTCACACTATGAGAAACACAGAAGAAGTCCTTCAGGACAAGGCAAAGAGGGCAGGCACAGGAGATCCAGACCCACAGACAGGAATGAGAGCTCTAGACACAGCTCCACAGGGACAGGCAGGCCAGGATTCCTTCTCTTATTATGTTATCTCCTTAAAAGCTAACTGACTAGTGAGGCAGAAATAATAATATGGGATTTTTAACATACATAAACATGAAATGTATGACAACAATACCACAGAGGCAGGGGAGAAGAAGTATGAATTGTATGAAAATATGAATTGTATGAAAGTATGAATTGTAAGGGTCTTATACTACAAGTGAAGGGTGTAAAATCATGGGAAGGGAGACAGTGGTAAATTCAGGATGGATACTATAAATTCTAAAGAAGAGTTCACAGCTGACCAGACAAAAGTTACAGCTAAAAAGTCAAGAAGGCTTTATTAAAATGGGATCATAGGGCCGGGGTTCCGGTGCCTGCCTCGCAAGCGCAAGGTCCTGAGTTGGATCCCCAGTACCAAAAAAAAAAGAAGGGGATCATAAAACACTCACTTAATGCAAAAGTAAGAAAAATTAAAAGGAAACAACATATAAACAAACAAAATATGTAGGACAATGACAGATTGAAACCTAACAATATCAATTATCACAATAAATGTAAATGGTCCAAGCACCTCGGAGAAAAGGCAGAGATTGTAATTGATATATGTGGGAAGAGAGGATCCAAATTTTGGTTCCTATGAGAAACATACTTCTAATATAAAATAGTTTAAAAAAAAGGACATCAAAAAGACATACTATATTATCACTAACAAAAACATATTTAAAAAGCCACCAGATAAAGCAGATCTCAGAACAAAGAATATTACAAGATCAAAAGGTCATTTTCTGAAGATAAAGGATATCAATTCATTAAGATAAACTAGCAATCCTAAATGTTTATGCATCTAATCATAGAACTGGAAAATACATTAAGTAAAAACTTAAAAAAATTGGAAGGAGAAATGGACAAGATATAATTATAGCTAGAGATTTTCTCTTGGTACTGGGGATCGAACTGAAGATCTTAACACTTGTCAGAAAGGCACTGGCACCACTGAGCTAAATCCCTGGCCCTATAGCTAGAGACTTTTAATACTCCTATCTCATGAATTGATAGGCCCAATGGAAGGTCATTAAGTAACTGCACTTTTTTTTTTTTTGGTACCGGGGATCGAACTTGGGACATTTCGCTTGTGAGGCAGGCAGCAGAACCACTGAGCTAAATCCCTGGGCCTGGAAAGTCATTAAGGACACAAAAGATATTACACAGTCAACTTGTCCTAGTTGATATTTACAGACCACTCATTTAGAAATCAACAACAGAAAGATCTCTTTAATCCTTTTCCCCAAGTGCTATGGAGCTAAAGAGCAGGCTTCTGAATAACCCAGGGGCTACGCATTTTGAAATGAGTGAAAATGAAGACACAGTATATCAGAATTTGCAAATCCTGCAAAAATCATCAAGGAAAATCTAAAAAAAGAATGACATCAGCTGATATCTCAAAAAAACTAGAGGAAGAATGGATGAAATATCAAGGAAAAAAAGAGGAACAATTTAGATCAAAGTAGAAATAACTGAAATATAAAAAAGAAAATAAAAGGAAAAAAAATCAATGAAACCAAAAGTTGGTTCTTAGACATGATCAACAGAATTCATAAACCCCTACCTGGACTGGCAGGAAGAAGATGAGAGGGAAGGAGAGGGGTAAAGACAACAAATTGCTAATGTAAGGAATAAAAAAGGTATTACTAAAGATAACATATTCAAAACAAAGGAATATTATGAACACTATTATGCCAATATGTCTTACATATTAGATAAAACAGACAAATTTCCTGAAACACATAAATTACCAAGCTTATTCAAGAAAGAATAACATAAAAATTCCATATTAATCACAGAAGTTTAATTTGTATTTAGATATTTTCTCATGAAGAAAACATCAGGCCCAATAACTTCACTGGTGAATTATGCCAAACATTGAAATAAACATTAATACCAACTCTAAATCAACTTTTCCAGAAAACCAAAGATGAAGAAATGCATCCCTACTCATTTTATGCTGACAGAGACACTGAAAGATAACCACACCCCATAATCCCTACAGATCAGTGGATCATAAATGCAAAAATTCTACTGAAAACTTCAGCAATTTGAATTCAACACCATACAAAAAGAACAGAACATACTGACCATTTAAGGGATATCCCAGGTATGTAGATTGGTTTAATATTTTAAAAAATCAATGTCACAATATTAACATTTTATAAAATGAACTAAATGACCATCTCAGAGAAGAAAAAAAGCATCTGACAAAATCTAACATCCATTCTTGATTAATATAGTGGTACTCGGTTCATGAACCTAATTCTTTCCATGATTCTGGTTGCAAACTGAATTAGACAAGAATTGAGTCAAATTCAATGATTAGGTTCAATGTTGACCTTACAGGGAAATTTCATTAGCTTCTCCTCCAATTCGGTTTGTGACAAGAATCATGGAAAGAATTAAGTTTGTGAACTGAGGTACCACTGTACCTTTAGCAGACTAGGAATAGAAGGAATTTCCTCAGACTGGTAAAGGTATCAATGAAAAACCTACAGCTAACAGCACACTTGCTGCTAACAGACTGGATGCTTTCCCCCTGAGATCACACACAAGACAAAGCTGTCCACTCCCACCTGTCCTCCCCAACATTGTCTTGGCAGGTCTTATCCAGAGCAGCAGTGAAAGGAAACATCTAGACTGACAAGCAAGAAATAAATAATGAACATGTCCACTGATAAATAATACCCAGAGGGATCTACTAAAAAGCTACTAGAACAAATATTGCTATAGAGTAGCAATGAATTGGAAATCTAAATAAAAGTATGACATTTAAAGTAGCACTAGGAATATTAAACAGAGACATCTGACACAGGGTGTGCAAGATATGTACACTGTAAACTGCAAACATCGCTGAGAAGGGAACAGACATAAATAATGGGAAAGACACACTGTTCATCATTGGAAGACTCAAAACTGCCAGTGTATTGGTTCTCTCCAAACTAATCTCATACAGCAGTCCCAACCAAAATTCAAGTGGGCTGTGTCGAAACTGCTAAGTAGATTATAAAACTGTCACAGAATAGGGGCCTGGGATTTAGCTCAGTGGTTCCGCCATTTGCCTCGTAAGCGCAAGGTCCCGAGTTCAATCCCCGGTACCAAAAAACAAAAAACCAAAAATCCTGTCACGGAATAAAAGAA